ATGGCCCTGGGGACAACTCAGTCTCTAACAGAAATGAGTACCAGGAATCTTCCTGGAGGGTAAAGGGGGGCCGTTGTGTAAGGCTGACGTTCGTAGCACTGACAGTGTTAGTAAGAAGCCTTTAGTAACCAGATTGTTTAGGCCGTAACATTTTGGATTTATGTTTGTGGACCACCGTATAGTTACTTGCTGTTTTCGCCATCTCGGGCTGGCGTCTGAAGAAAACGCAGAACCTAACTTGTTACGTTTATTTATTTATTTATGATATATTTAACTACGCTGTCAGTATTATAAAGTATGTGGAAGGAAGCGGTCGTGGCCTATTTGAATCTATCAACCTGGCATTTTTCCTGCGGGAGTAAGGAAAGAGTCAGAAAATCGTATCAGGCTAGTCTGGCCCAGTCAAGATTCGAACCAAGCACCTCTGGAATAACGGAAGCATATATATAGGAGTCAACGTACCCGGCCCAACTTGTTAAGGTCAGGTTGCGATGTACGGTAATTCTGTTGCGCTGGACCGCCATGTTCGCTGTGGAATGCTGGGAATGTCTGAGGAGTCATGCTCCAGCTGCTGCTGCATTCCGCGCCCGCCCAGCTGAGCGGAGAGGCTGGGAGGATGGATATCAAGTCTACTTTCAGCTACAGATTGTTATATTCTGGGATGTGACGCCGTGTAGTTTGATAGATACGAACGTTTCGGAGGAACCCAGCTGTCACCGTACAGTCTCCTATCCAGTGGACACAAGTATGCTTTCCTTGGGGTGAAGCAAGTGGAGTGTGAAGCCACGTACTCATTTCCATATAGATCTGAGGTTACTAATGCATGGAGCTTTACCTCCACTCCTTCTGGGCACCTTCGCATTGTGATACATGTTCTGGATGAAATCTAATGAAATGTTAAGATTAAATACTCCAAAGGTGAAGACAGCAAGTTCCTCAGAAACACTGGGACTTATGTACCAGACTACATGGCGTCACGCACCAGAAGACCATAATCTTAATATTCATTGCTTCAGAAACCTTTGAGTTACGTAATGAAAGCTGGCCTCTAGACAAGGTTCAAAGTGTGTACCTTCAAAATGAAAGGTAGGAATAAGATGTAAAAGTCTGTGAAGATGATATATTAATACAATTATTGAGTTTTGGACATTATCCATCGTCCTGTTTTTTATTTAAAGCACACAGCGTTTCGGAGACTGGATTAGCTCTATCAATTGGGCCCGACTGACTAGTTTTTGTCTGAAGACGGAGACAGTCCGGTTTTCGAAACGTTTTGAATAAAGAACGGTAGGAATGTTCATCTCTTCAACATGAAGCTTAATTTGTTTGTGTTTTTCTCCTTGTATTACTCTAATTAGATTTCTGAGTAATAAATATTTAACGTGTTGTACCGTTGCTATGCAATTATCGCGAGAAGGAAATTGGTTGCTTCGTAGCGGCTCGGTAAACACGTCATTAGTATCCGAGCTATTGTTATGTAACCACCCATAACAACAATAGAAGAATTGTTGGAGGCGGTGTTTTCTGTTGGGTTCCCCCTCGAGACTGTATAGCAAGGACCCCAGGCCGGCATAGGCGGTCATGACCAGATATTCAAAGAAATATCTGGTCATGAGCCCCAGCTGGGGCTCGACACCAAGACCGACAGACTGACTGACCGTCAGTTGTAACATGACCTGACCTGACCTGACCTGACCGGCATAGGCACAGATGCCAGTGTGGAGGCGGGGCCGAATATCTCCACCGTGACCCTGCGAGTTGTAAGAGGCGACACAGTAAAATATGGTCTCGAGTCCCAAGGGACTCAGACCCGAGAAGGACTCCACTGGCAAGGGCCAGCAGCATATACAAAAGGCAGACCCGTCCTCTCGTCAGAGAGTGCGTCCCACAAAAACAAGAGCGTAAATGGCAAACAATAAATATCTGGTCATGAGCCCCACCCGGGCCTCGACACCAAGACAGACAGACTGACGGACCGTCAGTCGCAATATGACTTGGACTTGGACTTGGCATAGGCCGTTAAGTGAAGTGAAGTAGTTGGTGAGTGAATGAGTTCATTTGAGCTCTTCAAGGGAAGCTGAGAAGATATGGCTTTATATTTGAGCTGACAGTTGACAAGTGCTGAGTCATGGAATATTCACTGGACAGGAACGACGTGAGCCGTTGCTAGGGAACGGTTGTTGAAGACATAGGCTGAAAGAAGGCTTAGCGTGTGCTGGTGTGATTTGTAAAGTCAATGTTACATTGCAACAGACGGTCAGTCAGTCAGTAAGTCTTGATGTCGTGCCCCAGCTGAGGCTCGTGACCAAATATTTATTACTGTTTGACAGTTACGGTGTTGTTTTTGTGGACGCCCTCTGTGACGAAAGGACATATATGCTGCTGGTCCTTGACAGCGCAGTCTTTCTTGGTTCTAAGTACCTTGTGACTCAAGACCATATTTTACTGTCTCAGATTTGAGCCCTCCCTTTTCGTCGCCTCTTAACGACTCGCAGGGTCACGGTGGAGGTATTCGATCCCGCCTCCACACGGGTTTGATTTGTAAAGTGTGGATATTAAGCGATAGCGCTGTAATTACTCACAGTTCCGAGTGGTGTATGGAAGTGGCCCATAGTCACACAAAACAAACTCCGTGGTTTTAGTCCGCAAGCGAACTTTACCGACCGAGCGAAGTTTAGTGCCAACTTTTGTGGATAGAGGGTGTCGCGTGGTCAGCGCAGCGAATCCCCACGGCCGTTAATTTCGATTTTCTAGACCTTGAAATAGCTCCTCAGTTACAATCACGAGGTTGAGTGGACCCCGTTCCAAACCCACTACTTCTCAGAAAAAATCTGGTAGCGCCGGGAATCGGACCCTGACCTTTGGATCTGTAGCCAGGAACGCTGACCACTAGACCACAGAGGCGGTCGTCCATAGTCACACACAAATTAAAAATTTAAAAAATATTAAATGTGTTGAAAATACTGTTGAGCACTGCTAGGCAGTTGACGTTGGCCTACGTATCTCACCTTCACAAAGGAAGTCACTGCAGTGCAAGTGAGGGACAGTGTTGGCTGGCGGTGTTCTGAATAATCAACGCAAAATGTGGATGTGGGACTCGCTATAAATTCCTGTTCCCTCGTGGCACCCACTGCTGATCATGAACTGATTTCCCTTGTAGCAGATAACCTAATGAAAATGTCGGTTGGATTTTACCTATATGTCAGAACTAATGAGCCGAGGAGTGTCTGAAGGAGCAGAAAATCGCTAGAGATAGAAAGTTGTCATGGAGAGCCCATAGAGGGAGAGAAGCCTTGAAGAAGACTGGATTATGCGGAGGAAATTTTCGATATTGTCACGATTTATGTGTGTTACTATAAACGGGGTATGGATTGGGTATTGGATTTATTGATCACTTGTACACCACCTGGAACTACAGGTAATTACAGCGCTGTCGCTAATCTCCAAACTTTACCAATCACCACAGCACCTGCTAGGCTTTTTCGGCCTGTGTCACGAACAACCGTTACCTAACAATGGCTTCTAACTGGAGGTTCTTCAGCTTTCCGCTCTCAGATCCCATCTTCACAGCCGCTCGTGTAGAACTCTAGTCACCCCTCAACTGAACTGGTTGCCCCAGTAAAAAAAAAAAGTAAAGGTATCCCTGTAACAGGCCGTCGAGGCCCATAGGGTTGTGAGATGTTGATGTTCCCACATTTTCTAGACAATCGGCTCATAGATGGCAGCAAGGTTGTCAGCCCTACGCGCCGGCCGCCCTTTACCCCCAAGAATATTCCTGGTACTCATTTCTGTTACGAGGCTGAGTCGACCCCAGGGCCCTAGTGCGGTTGGAAGGATTAGGTCAATTAAAAAATCCAATGACCTCATCGGGACTTGAACCCGCAACCTTCCGGCTCGTAGCATAGTGCCTCAACGAACTACGCTACCGCGTGCCCCGGTTGCCCCAGTTCTCTTCTTTATAACTTCTCGGCAGGGACCACATCGTAAACACCGCTATTCTATTGTTGCGTGCATGTTCATTCCTACTGAATCATGTTTACCGAGCCGTTGCTTAGAAACGTCCGTTTGTTTATTTGGCTATTGCATGGCAACGGCTATACTCGTTTGTTTTGAGGTCTTTGCCTAGAAAGGGGTCTATACACCACATTATGTTGGTCACTTATGCTAAGGAAAGAGTACAGTTTGAGAGTGTTAGAAAATAGGGTGCTAAAGAGAATGTTTGGACTAATTTGATTTGTCTCATTCTGGTCCCTCACACTATTAATTACAAAGTAGATAACTTTCAGTCCAGTATGACATACAGGTTTACAACACTTCAGTCTTTATTCGCCTTACATGTTTTGATTCAAAAGAATCATCTTCAGAGGCGCACTGCTACAAGCAGGAAACACTGTCACATAAGATGTTTTAACATTATGCACTTAGGTTATGAATAGTGCTCGCTATATCACAGTTTGCCCTATGCAGCCACGTTGATGTGTAGATTTACGTATGATGTTTCGTTTAAGCGTATTTGCTGGGTATTCGATTGGGGTTTCCCACTGCACGCAATGTGATGTTCACTTTCCATAAAATAGCTTCCCTATGTATTTAAAATTGTATTAAAAATCTTTTGTATGTAAAAAATTAGTTATTATGTTAAAAATCGTGAACCAACATTGGGTCATGTTTGGACCTTATATTTCTAACCTAACATGGAAGCAGCATACCTTATGCTAGTTCACATACCATGCAGTGTCTTAAATCAGAAGACTGCAGTATGAAGGTTTGTCGCCTTAAACACCTCAAATCATGTATAGACCATACGTGTCTCATATTTCAGAGCATTGGCTATCATCAGTGAGGTTTTTTTGGTTTTGCTTCATCCTTCGAGAGGAATACCATTATGGTGGGCCATGACGACTTCTGCCTCAAGATTCTCTGATTCACCATACATTCTTTCTCATTTCACTTGACAGCCTTTTCACTTGATAACTACCATTTTGATTTCTTTGTTGCAGGACTTGAAGGGCGCACTGGGTCGAGATGGGCAAGTTGCTGTCGAAAATTTTTGGTAATAAGGAGATGAGAATACTCATGTTGGGGCTAGATGCAGCTGGCAAAACAAGTATCCTTTACAAAGTCACTTTACACAACTCTCAGTTCGATAGCATTCCTCATAATGATAACCATCACAGATGGAGCAGTTTGTTGCCTGGAGTAATGCTCTGCTTGGTACATGTTTACCTGCAGAAGAAGACTAAACCTTTTCTTGCATTTCTGTGTTTTATATGCATCAGTGGACAGCAAGTCTCCATTCATGTCATTTTGAAAAACTTCTACAGTTGAGTGCCTGAGCAGTGGTGTGTTAGTTGAAATCCGCAAGGTGTGTGGCGGTAAGTAAGAGCAGCAGTTTTACGAGGCATCGGTGGGCACAGTTTTTCTTGTGGAGCGGTATCTAGGAAGTAGAGTTTTTGTTCAACTGGTGAACTGATACACATGTTGTTCCTTCCAGTGGTACAAAATATGTTTTGGTTGTTAGAACACATATTTTCTGTCATGGTTTCCTTAACTAACTTCTCAGCAATTTTGTACAAATTGAAATTAGGTCAATCCGTAACAACGATACCAACTGTAGGGTTTAATGTAGAAACAGTTACGTATAAGAATGTTAAATTTAATGTTTGGGTGAGTATTTCCTGTATTTTCGTAGTTTTACTCAAATGTTTCTGTTAAAAGTGAGGATTAGAGGCTTATGTNCCCCCCCCCACCTTTTTATGGGAACCAAAGATTCAGTGTCTTGTTCACAAGAGCTAGTCCTTATCCTGAACCGTATAAATCCAACCTCTTTCACACATTTTTTAATGTCCATCCTCCCATATGAGCCCGGGTCTCCCAAATATTGTCATCCTATGAGTTTTCTGAACAAAATTTTTCATGCATTTCTCATTTCTCCTGTGCTTGGTGCAGAAGTTTGGCTAATTTCATTGCTGTTAGTGCACTGTGTATTGTAGGATGTGGGAGGACAGGACAAGATCCGACCACTGTGGCGACACTATTATACAGGGACACAGGGCCTCATCTTTGTTGTGGACTGCGCAGACAGGGATCGTATCGACGAGGCTAGACAAGAGCTTCACAGGATAATCAACGACCGAGAGATGAGGGACGCTATCATACTTATTTTTGCCAACAAGCAGGACCTGCCTGATGGTGAGTAAAATGTGTAAATTTGACTGTAAATGCTGGGAGAATTTACATATATTAACCTTTATCTCCACCAAAGTAAGTTATGTTCCGGGGGAAAGGCAGTCAGTTTAATAAAATGTAACCTGATCTTTATATGATGTAACCAGGTGTGCTACTTTGAAGCACTTCAAATAACCTTCTAAGATCTCTGTCTCATATTTGGTGTTCTGTTGGTAGCAATGAAGCCTCATGAGATCCAGGAGAAATTGGGGCTGACGCGGATACGTGACCGCAATTGGTACGTCCAACCATCATGTGCGACGACGGGCGATGGCCTATATGAGGGACTGACATGGCTCACATCCAATCACAAGTTATGAAGCTGCCAGCGATTGCTCGCCACCGAATGGATGCAATCCCAAGAGACACGAATGTTGTAATACAGTGCATTCTGGTGGCAAGCTTGTGAAGTGAAGTTGTGCGCAACAGGATTACAAGTTCGTTAAGGGATTGGGAACATTTTGGGACATCTGTATTTTCCTGTTGGATATTGACACTCTGTTATATCTGTTGTAAAATTCTTTTTAAAGTTCGTACAGATTTGTAGTAATAAATTTGCAGAGGAGTATTGAGAAAGAGCCAAACAAGAATCAAAAAGAGATGAAACTTGAAAACATTAGCATGAGTAAGAGTGGACACAAGGTTTTCGTAAGTATAAGAGACAGGTGAAGTTGCTTTCTATTGTTTTTTCATAATAAGGCAGTTAGATAAGCTAGACAGTGACCAAAATGCGTAGTGCACCCAGGACGGAAGTTACTTGCAGGTGCCGTAGTTAATTTAACAATGCCTTAATTTTATTTTATTATTCTTTCTTGTTTGGTCTGATACGTACAAATGCTTGCAATAAAACCTAAAAGTCATCCCCTTCTAATCTGTGGGAAGAATTGTTGTCAGCTAATTATCTTCTTATCCCTGATCTGCATAAGAAATTTGTTCAGTTCAGTTCTTAGCCACATCACAGTTATCTGTGCGTCAGAATTGCAATTTCAGTTGTGGCTAGCCCGGGTTGCTTCTCCCGCCACGGTATAATAATATTGGAAATCAAATTAATACACAGAGTAATGTAGTTATTTAAACATTTGTGCGAGTCCATAATATTTTAAATTATGGAAGCATACACTTGTTTTCTTCACCCCTTGCACAGATTATGTTATTTATGTTTAAACATTCTGTCATTCCTCACTTTGTCTTGATACAGTTTAAAATATAATTTTGGTTTAGTTTAAGGCAGTAAGGAACAGGGGTGCAAAAATTGTGAAAGGAAAAGTATTAGAAACATTAGAAAAATGTGAGTTATGATCAGGAAAGAACTACATTTTTCTAATGCTTTACAATAGTTAGTTTCCAACTAATTGGGCTTGTCATATCAAGTCCTGCTTATGATTTGGAACAAGTCGTCGTGTTTCTATGTGCCACATTGCCTCAAGATGACTTCAGATTGAATGTAACTGCATAAAATCAGACGCAGGAAGTCGGCATGCAGCACTGTTAGTTCCGTTTTACAGCTACACCGAATATAATTATACTGTGTTTAAAACATCTTTTGAGAGTACATTATTGTCGGATACTTACACTGATCGTTACCTCGCTGTTAGAAAGTTACTAGATTTTGTTTTGAACATATGATGGGAACTGAATTGGTCTTGTTGAATGCTCAGGATTTCTGTGGTGTGAAGTAACCCCTTTTAAGGTATGACATACCTCAGATCTTTTTAGGCAAAGAATGTCAATATGTTCAGTGAAATGCGTGTGTTAATATGGTAGTATGGCCATTAGTTGTCACCTGATTTGAGGTTTGATATCTCATCTTTTGAAGATCAAACACTCTCTGCGAGATGTGAGAATAGGTCATATGTGGCCTGATCCATGAAGATGGTAATGATATGGGTTCATAGCCAAGCTGTACCTAAGTGATCAAGAGGTTGTTATCGGCTGTTTGGGTGACGATTCTGATAATATTAGGAACAGGGCAATATGTAGGCATTCTTTACATATTTTAGAAGAATATCTCATGGGGGTCATGTCTGTCAGGCTGTTTCTCTGTTACTTAGTGCTAGTGCCTAAACTGTTGGGAAGATTGTTTTAAAATTCAGTATAATGTTTCATTAAATGTTATGTGGCATTTCCAATTTTCATCTATATTGACTTATGATAAAAAGTCCACTATATTTAAAGGCCATAAATGAATAATTGGACTGCACATAAGCATACTGAAATACAGGGAATGTATTTGGAATTTTTGTGCAGTAATGTTTAAAACTGACATGCTTGAATTCTTTTATAATTTAACACAAATATTCATTATTTATTGAAATTAGTAAGCATTGTTTGATTAAATGCTAGGGCCAGTGTAATAACAAGGACCAAAGTTGAAAACTACTTGCTGATAAACTGGTATGAGATAATTCCAGGAATGTGTTGTTTGAATATCAGTGTTTAAATGTCGGCCCCACCTGCTGAGCTCTAATATTTGCAAAAGCATGCAGAGAGAATAAAGGCAATAATATTTGTATCAGCCATCATCTACAGTGACAGCTGGGGGTAGACTCGGGCACTCCTCACGAAGTAATATTCACATTACAGGGGGTGCTGTGTGTTCTGACTTGCAACAAGAGATCAGATTGTCAGTATTATTATGTGTTATAAATTTCATCTTTCATGCAGAATGTGTAGGGATGAGGCTGTGCTGTAATTCAAGCAGTCTGATACTTCTCCTTGGAGAGATTTTGCCTCAATCCTGCACGATTTTCTGTCAGATTCATGGTGGACAGAGTGGCATTAGAACAGGTTTCTCTCAAAATTTCTTCAGTTTTGCCCTTCTAATTGTCATTCCACCATTGATGCATATGCATCTGTCACCACCCCCTGAGGTGTACAAGAGCCCACACTTAGCAGCGCTTTATCGCATCTCTTAGTCTTTAAAGCTGGTGTTGTAATCTCTGGCCTGACAATCGACTGATTATAGGGTAAGGAAGTCAGGTTTACTAAATAGGTGATATGTATGGTATTAAACAAATAATGTCTTCTATGGTCCGATATTGAAGAAAGGTAATTTTAAATTTTAAGGAATTAAAGGACAATGAAAGAGTGACACAGGGGACACGTTAGCATTTGTGTGGTTAGATTGTTTCTTCTGGTTTACATTCAAGCATGGGTTGAGGTTGAGTTTTATGTTTTCCAAGAACCTAACTGTGGGAATTATGTATCACACCAACAGTTCAGGAAAGTTGTAATTGCAGGATACATCCTTTATGGTTAAGATATTTTAAACATTTAATGTTCTCAGGGAGTTAGCTTCCCACTAACCATAGAAATTTTAAATTTTTGTGTCAGAGAATGTTTCAGCAGTAAATTATTGTTTCACAGTGGAAGTTCAGTATTGTCTTTGTCTCTTTTCACAGAATGTTTTTGTTATTTTCATGGCCACTACAGGATCTATATAAGGGCTTCCAGAACATCTCCAAAAACATTAACCCTGAGGTAGCCTTGAGTATGGAAACCGCAATGTTTTGCTGAATCGTTAGAAAACCTTCAGAGTTCTACGAGGCATGTTCCCAGAAGCCAAAGTCATATTTTGGGCAATTCTGTTATGCATTGAATAACGACCTACATGCATCCAATTGTCTTATGTTCCTGTAAATGTTGCAACACAAGATTGTACAGACTTCATGGGAGCATTTTATGCGAATTAACCTTTGTCCTGCTGTCTGTATCGTCAATGAATGCATGAATAGTTCAGTAAATGTCTTTTTATATATCTCTGGGTTTTTACTTTCATAAGGGCCCAAAATATCTGTCTTCCGTATATTCCTTGAGGAATTTCTGAATGTATCGTGTCTTTGTGAGCTAGGATATTTCAGTTACTAAAGTGAATGTGTATGGGTTGGACAGCAGGGGTTTGATCTGAGGCACAGGAAGGGATTTGTCCAAGTTCTGAGCTCCTCATGATGGTGACTATGAAGGTTATTGTCCTCTGGGATGTGACGGTATGGGGAGGAGCGTGCTGCCTGCATCTACAAAGTGGAAGACGTTCGCTGAGAATGGAGGCAGAGCCTCCTCTGAAATGTTCTTATGTCCAGATCAATTCTGGCTGCTACACATTCTGTTGTAATGGGTACCAGCAGCTGCCTTACCAGGTAAAGGCAATTGGAGCATGAATGTGACCACTCAACCTCTGTTGCAGTGCCAAGGTTGAACATTTGTGAACCTCGTCTTCATCCTTGTAGTCTCGACGTAGCGCATGTATACTCGGATAACTCTGCACTTCCTCTGACAATTCATTTTGTTGTATTTTTTAGTAGACTTCATATTTTTTAAGCTGATGTAAGGATTAGTAGCACAGGAGAGCTCTGTTTGAGCAATCCACATATGAGTCATGCTTCGACCATATACATGTTGTGTCATCATGTCACAGCTTAAGGCACAGTCTTCTTCAGGTGTTACCCTATATTTGCTCAAGTCATAACTGCACAGAATTACCAGTCCTGTCTGCTTGGATTATTTGTTTTACTGCACTTGGGTCAGGAAGGGATGAACGTGAATATTAAAGCTCCTCCGCTGACACCAGTGCTGTATCAGGAGTAAGAATGTCAGTGACAAATGGTGGAAGTGGGGGAGTATCACACAGAATGCGTAGTTGCTGGGCAGATGGGAGGAATCTATGTTCTTTCCATCATGTGAGTGAAGTGCATGACGACCATATGTTCTAGAGTACATATTTATTCAGCTGTCTGAATTTAGTTTTAACATTTTGTGTGGGGCTTTATTAATCTTTTCGTAATTTTGTACGTGGAGTAATGAGGATTTAGTTTCCAGCTGTTGTGTGAGATGATGCAGTTCTTAAGAGACATGAGAAAACAGTGTAAAGCCAGAACTGTATGGTTTAACATGCAGTGACAGAATAGGCAATGCTTCCTTGCATCTTCTGTTCCATTTCATAACTACTCTCAACCCAGCCATCTGCTCTTAAGGTGTGATGCTGAATGGGAAGATGATTGATGAGTACTGAATTAAAAGGAATTGGGGAAGAAGCAACTGTGATCTAGTTGAGGTATTGTCCTGGCATTTGCCTGGAGGGTTGAGAAAGTCTGTGAAATGCCTGGCAGGATAGACAGTGTCTGACTGAGGTCCAAACCAGACACCTCCCAAATACAAATCTAGATGCTATGCCAAACTGGAAGTGTCTGTAACTGCTGGCTGCTAGCAGATGTACAGTGTGGACCAGTGGAATACGATGTAGCTTTTTCGTGTATGTGGGTAGTTTTGAGGGTTCTGTTAAGTGTCCTGATTTCAATGGATAGCCTTTCAGTTATCTTGATTATGTAGGAAAGGTGCCCAGTATGAGGTTCTTCAGTAACAGTATCAAGTAGGTGCTGACGTCTTGTGAATGTGTTCCAAATTCTTAGTGCAAGGAGGAAAACAACTTCCTTCAGTAGAGTTGGCCTGTGCTTCGTGTTGAAAGAAAAGAAAAAAAAATATTGCTTTTAGAGTTTATATTGCTATTAGCGTAGTCTACTCCTTAGCAAGGTAGACACAAGTCAATGAATTCCTTGTGTAGAGTGTTAGTGATATTCTGGTTTTGCCTTATGCTGCTTTGGAACTCGTGACTATGGTGATTGGTTAATTCCAGTAACGATTAGCAAAATGGCAGATACCCTGGCATCCTAATATGGTAAATGGCAAATTTGTTACAGATTTCTCTCCTTTTGTTATGTAAACAAAATATTCTCTTTTGTAATGTAGAATTTGTGCCCAAATGTGTGATGATTTTGTATGCAGAGTTTCCTTTATATGACTGTTGATTTACCCCACCAAAGCAAGATTATTAAAAATGGCATCTCATACACAGCACCTTTCTAGAGGGCATCTTTTCATGCATTTGGATTGAAGTAAAAGAATGACATGATTTTTGCACCCCTGGATATGAACTATAATTTACAGTACCATTTACAAATGTATTGTTCAGCTATGGCTGTTCCCCAGTGATGGTAACATGACGATTGTTGGTCAGTGTTCATACAGCAGCATAAAATGATATGTGATTGATTGTATATAATATACAAGTGGCTTGGCTGTCTTGTTTGGATAAATCTTGCACAGTATTGTTCTTTGTATTTANTACCAATGTGATTAAGAGAAAGTGTTTCCCTCTTCTTGATTTGTTTTCCAGCCATCCTTTTGAGTGTTCAGTATTGGAAAACTGGTTTGTCAGAACAAGTAAGTACAAACGAACTGTATTATGTTTATTGCAGGAAAGAGTTAAGCATGAATATCTGCAGTAACCCAATGTACACTGTTGGTATTGCATTGTTAACTTTTTATATTAAAAATGAACCGTGGTTATTTAGAAGGTCAGGTGTGTGTATGATCATTCAACTCTACTGAGATGGAGTTGCCTTTGGGTACTGTATCCCTTTCACTTACAAAATTCGTTTAAATAGTACTTAAAAATTAGTTCCTACTGTGCAGAAAATGTACCGATACTCCATTACAAAGTTTGCTGTGTTACTATATGAGAAATAATTGCTGTTTGTTCTGTGAGCCACACAAAATTCATAAAGATGCTATAATGGAAGAGTGCAGTCCTTCAATATTAAAATAGCATCACACAGTAACCACTGTGCTATAAATTGTAAATAAAATTGAAGGGCTTACCCTCAACCTGACTGTCATGTCTAGGCAGTGCTTCATATGATGTGTCTCCGTGCTCTCCATAAATATAAGAAAGGCAAAGCTATATCTTTGCTTAATTACTCACCACTCCATGAAGATATATGAGGGAGTGTGGGTATAGCTGCACATTCTTAACCTTGGCACTAGATGTAGGTAAGTGGTCAGGTTGATGTGTGTACTGCATTACTTCCAGAGAAATGGCCCCCAGTACCCATTGTATAGGAGGCTGCTTCTCTGGGTATTTTGGAGAAGAGAAAACTTCTTGCTCTCTCAGAAATTGAACTTCAATTCCTCAGGCATCCAGCATGTAGCCATCCCATCTGTCACTGTGATCTTCATAGCAAAATTTTAAGATATCTACTGACCAGCTGAAGGGAACAGAATATGCCAAATGATGAAATGTTTGAAGCAATGTAATGTAAAAGCATGGGGATTCCTACCTTCTGTATAAAATCAAAATCTTAAGTTAATGTTAAGGAATATTATGGTTATATAGCATTCTAGCACGTGAAAATGGTTTGAACACTGTAGAGGGTCATTTGAACAGAGGCCGATAATATTATGAATGCCAGACCACATCATTTTATAACTGGCATTAATATATTTTGTGAGAGAGAAATGTGAGATTAAATATATGAAAAACAACATTTTGCACATTTATGAAAGTTAAAATATACATTGGGCAAGATGGAAAATACTTGTTTAACATTACATTTTGTGCAACAGTACTTAAATTGTAAGCACGGGGTCAAAAATCAACAAGTTTTCTTTGGATTATGAAACTTGAACTTCTTCCCTTTGTGACTGATTTTCTACCCTTGTTCTTTGCCTTGAAGTTTTATAAATTTTAATAATCGGGGAGTGCAAATTAACTACATTGCCTAGGTACGAGGTGCCACTTTAATCACGAGGATTTGTACCTTGCAGTTACATTTTTGTTAAAAAGGAAGTGCTTTGTCAGACACTCAAAATATTTTAATTGTGCGGGAGGGATTTAATATCTAAATTTTCCGCACATAGAGGAGGGTGTGACTTTGTTTCGTTCTACATTAATTACAATTTTCATTGCTGCATTGGGATAAAATTGTAACTGGAACGAAGTTAGTAGCTTTAGTTTTTGCAGGTTAAAGTGCGGCTCCATTTCTGCAGTCTCTATGCCTCGCCTGCGTACTGGCAGCGTTGTTGAACTTTCTGCCGCGAGGATGAAGTTCACGCTTTTTACCGCACTTTTCTCCATGGAGCTAAAGGCCAGAAGCAGGGATTTGTAAGCTTTCTCATTCCGACTCGTAGCGCGATACGTGGTGGTAGGCGGTGTTGCAGTGGTTATCTGTGTATGGCGGTGCTTCTGTCAAATGCGCTGTTTTGATAAAACTGTACAAGTAACAAACTATGAAACTCTTTGTGTATGCTGTAGGATGGTTTGTGTGGGATTAACCTTTAGAAGTCCATGGTGTCTTCAATAGGTAAGTCGAAAGAAGCGATATAACTTACTGCTCTGTCTAGAACAGTTAACACGGAATAATTTTTGTACACCATGACGCTAGAAGCGATTTGGTGTAACAATTCAACATATCAGTTTCACACTGTATGAAAGTTAAATAAGCCTGTAAAAGTGATCGTATTTTCCGTGACAGGATATCACTGAGACGATATTTGGGGGGGATTATAATCAGGCGAATAGCATGGTTGAAAAGCAGCAGGTGCGATGGAGATTTTGACACTCGATGGCTTCTACCGTGGTCAGAATCCTATGTGTGGATGGATGACGTGAAGACATTATTTTGCCTCCTGTTCTTCCAGAACTTATAAATGCAAGTTTTAGTGACGAATGAATGAAGGATTTATTACACCAGTTGCCGAAGCTGGTTTCTGAACGTATGTTATAATTTCATATATAGTCTTCTGAGTTATGAGAATGCACGAGAGTGATTGTCGGGTACCATCTCATAGGTTAAGAACAAACCATGCCGCCTAAATGCCATTTTGCATTTCGGTCCGAATTAAAGGTGACAATGTTAAAGTTTTCCCTACACTTAAATAATTAAGCATCATCCCATGAATACGTATGTAGGAGTGGAGGTGTAGCTCCACCATTCTTGACCACAATAATAGATGGAGCTGAGTGGTCAGCTTCACTCGCCTGTTGCAGTAACCCCGGGGAAAGATTCCCACCCCCCGTTACCCATTGGATCAGAGGCAGGGTGGGCGTCAGGGTCCGTCTGTACGATATAAATAACAGGAAAAATCTTTCTACTGCCGGGAATGGAACCCGGGTCGTCCAGCCAGAAGCCCGTTTCTCTACCGACTCACCTATCCTGGTGCTATTTTAGTTTACATTAGGCATAATAAAGTCACTTTTAGCGCATAGAACATCCAAAGTTTGTAACTCTTGCATCTGTCAGTGTAATTTCAGGAAGAAATGCTTTATGCGGAGTATATTACAACTCTTACCATTCGTTACGATATCACTTAATCACACAACTCATAATTGGTTAACTGGAGACAGATTTTGGTTTTCGGTTATGGAACCTTGGAAGTAAACCCTGTAATTTATGATGCATTTTATGATGTTTGTTACAGGCGAACGTCTACTTACGAACTTTCAAGAAACGAACAATTCGTATTTACGAACTGATGAATTGCGACTCCCAATTCGTTTAACGAACACAGAACCCCGCGTTTACTAACATTTTAACAAATTTAACGACGTAGTTTATGAAACAAATTCATCTTACGAAGATTCCACGTACAAACACATTATGTTCGCAAGTTGCGGTTCGCTTGCATTCGCATATCAGAAATGAAGTACATTTCACATTATTGCCTAAACACTGACTGATATCAAAGGAATGTACATAAACCCTCCTTGAAATCCTCAACTTCTCTTCGAGATATTTTTACTGAGTGGGAGAAAGTTTAGCAAGAAGCGTCTAACAGATCTTCACCCGGAGAAGTGACTGTAAATCTTGTTTCTACGCGAGTTTGAATTTAAACAACTCAAAACCCTGTCCAGTCTGCAGCCAACGCTCTGTTTCTTGTAGCTGTACTTGATTGTACTCCTTATTGGCATCGTTTCTTTTTGTACGACACAAATTAGCCCTTTAAAGTCCAGTGGTTAGTATATGTACCTTCTGGTTTAACACACCAGAACCATGCATTCTTCCCACAGAGTGTATCTGTGTTTCATACGATTCTCACAATGAACAGCGACTGTCTCCCTAAACCGTATTAACCCGCTGGGCTTTGTAGCTGAGACGTAATGTGTCTCGTGAGGTACGCACTGAATTCTTATATACTATTTAGAAGAAATTCAGTCTGTATCCCGTGTGGAGGCTGGGTCGAATACCTCCACCATAGCCCTGCGAGTTGTAGGAGGCGGCGAAAATGGATGTCTCGAATCTGAGACAGTAAAATATAGTCCCGAGTCCCACGGGACTCGGACCCGAGAATGACTGTGCTGGCGAGGACCAGCAGCAGTTACAAACGACAGGTCCATCCTCTCGTCAGAGAGAGCGCCCCACAACAGCAAACCCGCAACTATCTGCCAGTAATAGAAATCTGGTCTTGGGCCCCAGATGGGTGCTTGACATCAAGACAGACTGGCCTACTGACTGTCCGTCGTAACATAAGACTCGACTCGAATGGACTCAGTCTTTAAATGGTTAAAGAAAATGATAATAAAAAGAGCTCTGTCTTCTGGTATATAACGCCGTATAGTCCGTTGAAGAATCAACTGACGTTTCGGAGGAACATGTGGCCTCAATATTCAAAGCTAAAACAGCGAAACAAGAAACCAGCTCTCAACCGACTGCATTGCGTTACATTCCAGAAGATGGGAAAAGGTAAAGGTATCCCTGTAACAGGCCATGTAGGCCCATAGGGTTGTGAGATGTTGAGGCTCCCACATGTTCTAGACAATCGGCTCACACATGGAGGTGAGGCTGTCAACCTTACGCGCCAGTCACTTTTCACCCCCAGGAACATTCCTGGTACTCATCTCTGTTAGAGGCTGAGTCCATCTCAGGACCATAGTGCGGATAGAAAGAGTTGGTCAACTGAGAAATCTAATGTCCACATCGGGAATCGAAACTGTGACCTTCCGGCTTGTAGCATAGTGCCTCAACCAACTACGCTACTGCGTGCTCCGAAGCATTCGAGGGAACTTTATATTTTAGATCAAGTTTCAGGTTTTTGTTACTTCTCATATCAACTTCGATTTAGGAGCCGGGATAGCTCAGTCGGTATAGCGATGGGCTAGGGGCTGGACGGCCGGGGTTGGAAACCCGGCAGGGGCAAGATTTTTCTCATCTCCACAGTTCCCAGACCGGCTTTGGGGCCCATCCGACCTTCTAGCCAATGAATACCGGGGGCGATTTCCCGGGGGTATAGCGGACGAGGCATGAAGCTGGCCGCTCACCTCCATCTAGTTCCGAGGTCAAGAGTGGTGGAGCCATACCTCCACTCCCCCATATGTGTTCATGACTTAGCGCTTAATTAAGCACGGGGAGAACTTTAATGATAATTTTGGTTGAGGAATGCTAAATGTGCGGCTAATACCATTTGTACTTTATGAACCCACTGTATGCCATGTTTTCAGTTAACAAAAGAATAGAAGGGTTTTGGGAATTTCGTCTAGCCACAGGTTGAAAGTAAAGGTAAAGTTACTGCCGTAGTGAACGGTGTAGGGACTGCGTGGAGGCAAGTGCCTGCAGTTGTATTTCTGAGGTTTAGATGAATGTGAGTGTCCAGGTGCATGTACTGGAACCCCCACAACTTCCGGTGCCCACTGGAGCTTCCCACAGCCGGTCTGGAATTAGTGACGAAGACTTCCTGGCCCGCTCGGTAATCGAACCCGTGTCGCAGAGCCCCAACATCGTGCGGATAGAACTCCTGCTTCATATTCAGGAATTCCTGGGTTCAAACCTCGGCCCAGATACCGACTTTATAGAACTTAGGCGTCTCATGGTTTTCCTCAATCCCTCCAGGCAAATGTCCAGAGAGTATCCTAAATTAGACTGTGACCGCCTCCTTCCACATCCTTTCCCTCGTGAAGTGAGCTGCAAATGAACATTGAGGCGCTGACAGGGCGACCATGCCGGAATGGTTACTCTGTGTTTGGAATATTAGCTTCAGTAATTAAATTAGTAAACAGTTAAGCGCTTTGTCATACTTCGAGCTGATTTTACAGTTCTTTTCCTGTAAATAAATTACTCAACATGGACAATTAAGAGCCACGTCCGTGAAACAAGAATGTGCTGTTGCAAATTGTAACCTGGAAACCTCTTGCTTAGAAAGAGCGATTTTGAAATATGCTGCGTCCTCAAACCTTCATATAAATGCGAAGTTCAGCGCGATTTGTTTGTTGTGGAACACATTAACATATGCATAACATACGTGCATACGTGTCTGCGATTTGCTTGACTTAGCGCTGCAAGGATTTTCCTTGAAAAGTTGACGGTATCTCAGCTGTTTACGAAATGGAATCCGAAGGCTGATGACCACGTTCAGAAAACGAATCCCTGGTCGCCCTGTTTCTCTGATATTCTCCTTGCAGCAACGTGTACCTCTTCCCCATGCTTCCGGGAACAGAGGTTTGTGCAGAATTTGTTCAATTGCTATTGACTTGCTACGGGCTGGACGACCGAGGGGTCGGAGCTCGAGTACCGGTAGGGTCAAGAATTTTCTATTCTCCACTTCGTCAAGACCGATTCTGAGGTCCACCCAACCTCCTATCCAATGGGTACCGGGGGCTCTTTCTCCGGAGATGTCTCTGGACATTATCCATCGTCCTGTTTTTATTTAAAACACCGTCCTGAACAGGAAATACGAGGAATCCGCCCACACGTCCCTGATAGACCATCCGATCCGTCAACATAGCTTGGATATCTCTCCCATCTGGACTCCCGTTATCACAGCAGAAGTAAAACCACTACAATTACGTCCAGTGTAGGTTGAGTGGGAAAACTGGGGGTTTCTTATGTTGGTACCATACGTAGAATTTGTTTCTTTAGCAATGACTTCTATTCTGATAGTAGTATCACACTCACTCACTCACTCATGGAGCTGAGCCCTTCTTGAGAAGCCGCCAATTGTGCAGCCACTCAAGAACGTCCAGTATTTTATGGACGTCGAAGGTTCATTACCGTGTTCACAAAGCCCTCCACTGGTCCCTATCCTGAGTCAGAACAATCCAGTCCATGCCATCCTGGCCTATCTCTCTTGAGATCCATTTTAATATTGTTCACCTACTTACGTCTTGGTTTTCCTAGTAGTCTCTTTCCTTCTGGATTTCCCACCAATATCCTATATGCATTCCTCTTCTCCCCATTCGTGCTACATGCCATGGCCAACCCACGCTCCCTGACTTGACCATTCTAATTATACTTGGAGAAAAGTACAGGTTATGAAGCGCCTCATTATGCAGTTTTCTCCAACCTCCTGTCACTTCATCCCTCTTCGGTCC